TCTAAATAAAATACTCCCTCCCCCTCCCTCCCTCCCTCTCTCTGTCTTTCTCTATCTCTCTTCACCCCCTACACACACACGCACGTACATGTACACAGGCATGTTCATACTACAGCATCTGTCTCTGGGATCTTTCTTGAAAAGAAGCTGTCATACACAGAGAAAGAGTCCTATATCAGGCCACTGAGGAAGCGGGACAGTCGCAGGACGCTCTATACAGCTCCAGGCAGGAAAACTGGAGATAAAGGTTCAAAGCCATCTCTGCACTTGGGAAGGGGATCAGAAGAGGTATAGAGATACATCTCTGCAAGCCCTGGTTCCAGTGTTCAGGTGTTTTCCATTGGAGGAGCTGCTGATGTAAGATGACAAATACTCTGCACTCTCAGTCCTCATCTCCCCAGGCCAACTCTTCTGGCCATTACCTTTCTGCTTCTCAGGTCCCAACAGCCTGTAAAGTCACTCCTCCCCACCACAAACATTGCCAGTGGGATTCAACGCTCTACCCCCTCCTTCTCCCTAACACCCGAGAACTATGGGGCCCTCCACACCATCTCTTCAGTAATAACAAATCGATATGGCAGAGGCCTTCAACAGGCCAAAAAGAACGGGCAGAGAGGAGGCACAGGCTCACTGGAAAAAGTACCTCAGGTCTAATGAGACACCATCCCTCCCGCCACCACCACCAGTACTGTGCCCAACACCCCACTGCAGAGAAGCACCAAAACAGGATTTGAACGTTTCCTATGGTAGTGTTTTCTGGGTTACAAGATGCAAGCTGGTGATTTTTTAACCCATTCCCAATTTTTTTGAGTAAAAAAAAAAAAAATGATACAATCCAAGAATTCCAAGGCTCACCTGTCATTTAAAGTATATAGCCCTCAAATTGTAAATGAGCAAACATCTACAAATTGAAGTGTGACTTGTACAAGGCAATATGGATTCAGGGAAAGTCCAAGGATTTGAAACAAGCGTCCTCTCCCATCTTGGTGTCCCTTGTCCCATTGTGCCTCATAGCCTCACCAATTAGTCATCTAATGTCCCCTTCCTGATTTCACCTGCACAGAACACACACACACACAGACACACATGCACACAGAGACATACACGGTAACAGTTCTTACAGTAAGATTATTCCATTCTTCCTTGGTAATTCACAGGGGCATTTAAAAATCATTTTGAGATAATTCAATTCTTAGTGCAGCTAATAACCAACTTTTTGTTCTAGGCAATCAATTCTCACCCCTGGGCCTATGATCTGGCTGTGACGTTATATATCCCATGAAGAAAACAGG